CTGGGACGGAACTCAATGGGAAAAGAAATGATTCTTGTTTCTTATTTGAACCGTTGCGTATATTAGCTGCGACATATGAATCAAGATGCTATGACCGGAAAAAAAATTGATTGACAGATGACCGTTGATACATGATTGGCTGAATTTAGGTGTAAAAGCTGATGTATAACTAACTGGCCTGCATAAGATAACGGAAAAAAACACAGATTTTAAGATTTTTTTTAAAAATAGAATTTTTCAAACTTTCGGGACAATATGGTCTGGTAACGAGTACATTTATATACATGTTTAAATCAGGATGATTTGACATTTAAATATGATTTCCCTAAGACTTCAAGTATCTTTGTCTAAAAATTTGATTTGTTTGATGAGCAAAAACATTGAAGCCGATCTAATAAGCAAAAGAAAAATGAATATGTGGGAGGAAAAAAAACAGATAATTTTAGCTCTGAATCAACAGTGTTGGATCTGAACACTGGAGGCCGTCTTTTTCTTTAAGATCCTCCTGCAGACCCATCTGCTGCACATTCATTCAAACTGGTGTCCTTATTAAGTGTCAAATATGTAAACAAACTGGTCCCCAGTCAGTTATTATGTCAGATTCAGTTGTGCTTCTTCAGATGGAAACTAGTTAGTTATGGCAAACTGAAACACATCTGCCTTGTAAAATCCTGGATTATCACCCAGCTCTGCTGCTGAATCATCTGTTTAATCTTTATTACATTTTAAGAGGAAATATAAAAGTATCTAGCTGTTATTTGATCCTTAAATTATTGAATAAGTTTGTTTGATATTGATTCCTTCTGATGTGTCCCATCAGTAAAGGTAACTGAGAGCTCGGATAGTTTCTCCTAATCCTGCATCAGGATGCAGCAGTCGATCCTGCTCCAGTCCGCTGATCCATCCCCAGCGCTCACTCCATCTTTGATCTGCATCTGTATCCCTTCCTGTAGACTTCTACTCCATTCTCCCTTTAAACAGCCCCCTCCCTCCTCCTGCAGAAAGTGCGTGACTCTGCATGCTCCTTCAGCACCCCTCGCCAGTGCTGAGGAGGGGCATTTCCATCCTTTATAAACAGGCTGTTAAAGGAAGGTAAATCCACTGCAGATCTGCAAATTATAATCTCACAGGGAATGATTGGAAATAAAAATAAGTTGGGAGACAGAGGAAGATTATAAGAACTAAATATTTCCTGTATTTTAATGTGATTCAAGTCTTTATTCATTTTTTTTCTGTCCCTTCTGCTGGGAATCCTGTATTTTGCACCCATTAATTTATTATACCGTACAACATTTTATTCAATTTTAAAATTCATTTTAATGTGCTATATAGATTAACATTTGTTTTTTATAGTCATAAATATTAAATAAAAATGTTGTCAATTAAAGGCATAGTGGAGGATGTTCTTTTTCCGAGTGGATCATCAAAATAAGTGGTCCTCCTTACTGTCAATCATTCTGGTGATATGTTTACTAAGGCCGTCCTACGCGCTCGTCCCCATTTTCACTCACCAGGGGTGAGTCTGACATGATGGAAAAAATTGCAAATCTTCTTTTGGAAAGTAAGCTTGTATGAGCGATGCAAACAGCAACTTTAAAACCGAGCGTGCACGAGGAGAAATGAGCTTGTGCACGCTGTCGCACGCGTTTAATAGGCGTTTGCTCTCTAGAGTGGGTACAGGGTTGTGCACGTGCATTTTCTTTTAAGTGGGGAGGGCAGGTCTTTTTTAAAAATTTGCGGAAATCCTCCAATATACCTTTAAATTGTACCTACTAATGTTTTTAAATCTATTGTCATTTGAAACTGCAATATTCTTTTTTTCATTGATATTTTCGCAAACATCAGAACAAACTTATTAAATTCTGCAGCTTCTATCAACGATTATTTAAAAATAAAATAACATCATATTTTCTCTTATTGATTTTAAATACTTGTGGGAAGAATAATGAAATGAAGGGATTATTTTTACCCATGTGATCATTGAAGGATGCTGTTTTTTCTAATCTGCATTATCTGTTTATTATGGAGTAAAAAAAAATAAAAAAAAAAAATCTACATCATTGGTATCAATATTATTACTGTTAAAATAAAGTTTGTTATTCAACACACAAAAAAATAACATAATAGACTGCAATAAATCAGTAATATTTGTACATAAGGAGATATTGTTATTAAATTCACCACTTTATGAAACCTAAATACATTATTATTGTAATTAAAAATTATTACTATCATATCATTCAATATTCAATCACTATATTGATAATGAATGTATTTAAATTGTATAAAGGGGTGAATTGAATTAAAATATTTCTTATCTACAGATATTACTGATTTATTGCAGTCTGTTATGTTTTTTTGTGAGTTGAATAACAAACTTTGTTTGTATTTGTTTAATTGAAAAAAATATTTAATCTGAAGATAGGATTAAAAATATTGTTTGAACATTTTTTTTTTATCCAGGGAAACCTGAATGGATAAAGGAGATAAAACCAATCAAATGATATCAATATGCTGCCCCCCCCACCACCTCGTCTGTCTGTGTGTTTTCATGCATGTGAGTGTGTGTTGGGGGGAGGTGGTGACAAGCTGCATCTGGCCCCTCCTGTCTGCTAATGTGCTCTGTCATTAGAGAGGGAGTGGGAGATCGAGGTACGGATGGTGTGATGGAGAGAGAGAGAGGGTGAGGGGACTGTGACAGCGAGGCTGATAGAGGGAGCGGGCAGACAGAGGAGTAAAGGAGCAGCAGTAGACCAGCGTGAAGGGGGGGGACGCAGCAGGAGAAGCTGCTGTTGCCTGCCGTTGCCATGGCGCATCCGTCTCCGAGTGCATCGCCGGGCGTACGTCGCCGTAGCGATGGCTCAGTAAGAGAATGTCTGTTCTTCCCCATCTCTGAACGCAACGAGCAGGAGAGGCTGGAGGCCTTGGTGCGCCGGAGAGCCGGGGGCGCCGATAGAAGAGGAGGAGGAGGAGGAGCAGGGGAGGCCCGGGACCACCTGGACAACAGGCCCAAACGGTGGACATGGGGAGGACCGCCTGACGGAGTGGAAGGTGAGTTCAGCCTGAGCTGGGAGCTTTGTTATGGATCAGGATGATGTCATTGAGGAATAAAGAAGGGATGGGGGCTGGGAGGGATGGAGGTCAGGTGGAGATGGAAGAGGGGGATGGTGGGACGAAAGGGTGGGGACATGGGAGGTGAGACGAGGATAGGAAGTGATGATATGAGGAGGAGAAGTGATGTAGATCGCCAGTGGAAAGAAAAGGGTGTGGAGCTGCAATGCAGGAGCAGCTCAGCACTTTGTCTGCAAACCTCAGAGGGGTTCGGAGAGGCTGGCAGCGCTGACTGACATCATCTCAGAGCAGGAAGCCTCAGCATCACAGCAGGTATGGAGATGGACAGATTTTACATGTCCCTGTTAACATGCTACAGGTGTGTTTGTCCTCTTTTATCTCTCTGGGCTGATTTTCAGCAGAGTAACGCGTCTCACCTCGAGCACAAGGCCGCTAACATAAACTCAGACAAGGTGCGACATCAGGCTGTGATTTCTCGGGTGGGCTAGCGTCCGTCTTTAGATTTAACTGCTTTTGTCCGTCCTTTCTTGTCTTTTCTGAGATGTTTGCTGTTGTTATTGCAGCCTAGCCTCACCAGCTAGATTTCATACTGCGATACCTTCATATACCCATCAATTATTCACCAAACCCATCAGCTGAGCCGTCCTGGCACCGATCTGGGCGCAGGGTGCGCCCAGGAGCTCCCCTGGCTCCGGTCCGGCTGCCTGTCAGGCAGAACAGGCCCACTGCAGCAGAAACAGCAGTCTCATCTTACACCGTCCGCTAAAGGATGGAGACGACACTCGCATTCAAAGCTGCTGCCATCCAAAGGTGCGATGCACATTTCTCCGAGGAGTCGAGCTGCATTTTAAAACCTAAAGATTCAAGAGATCCAATGATTTTCATCAGATGAGTCAAAAAGGAAGTGGTGGAACCCTTCAGTGTCAGTTTGCCTGAAAAGAAGCAGATTTAAAATGTAAAAGCATCCAAAAGGGTTAAGTTTCACAATTTAATCACCCAGATTGTAAAACAGCCAATAATTCCTTATGGGCTCAGATTATTGATCAACAGGTGGAATGTTTTAGAATCTAAAAAAAATGTCCACATTTTCCTTAAAAAACTTCAAAATCAAACAACTTCCTTATAATGAACACATTTAGAGCACCGTTTTAATGTATAAATGGAAATAATTCAAGTGTTCCTTCATTTTCTACCTCTGAGGAGTGATTTCTCTTGTAAAAATTTATAAGATTTAGCAGCTCAAAGCCTGATTGGTGCATCTATTAAAGCTCAAATTACATTCTAATCGAATGCTTCCGGTATCAGTAATATGATCAAATAAATGGTTGAAGAAAGAGTTAAAATTCAAAGCACAGAGATGATGAACTTGCATGTACAGTTTATTTTACATAAATGTTTGTCCGTACAAATAAATCCTAACATGAACGGTGACCCGTCTCTGCTTGTACATCAGAAAATAGTTTCTTCTGTTCATGAGGGATTATCCTGCAGTTTGGCGTTGTGGTAATCTTTCAGCATCCTCTTCTGCAGGGTCTAAAAGCGACGGTCGATACGGATTTGGATGCATTACAAACAACACGATGACCTACTAGTGGTTAAGAGAGCAGACATTTCAGCTCATCAGTTTGATCATATGGGATATTAAAACAGCAGCTACAGTGGAACCAGGCAGGAGACGGGTTTGGCTTCCGTCTTTATATTTTCCTCTGAGGTTCATCTGTGTGTCGCAGTGAAAACGTTCTGCAGCAGTTGCGATTGATTTGCTCATTACTCTGGAAAAACAAGACAAATCAAATTTGGCTTCCTTTAAGCAGAAATCCAGGATCTTATTGGCTGTTATTGAACCCTGGTTGTCCTGGATTGTGGTGGGAAACCATTGGCCTTTTTCCACTTTTCTGCACTGCAGACATTTATTGCAATACTTTCCATATATGAATAAATGATTTTATTATTTTATTTTTATATGAGCTGAATTTTAACATTAGAAAAGAACATTTAAGAAAATCCACCAGTCTGGTAGCAGAAGTAACAGGATAGGAAGTTACATTTAATGCAAAAGCTGATTCAGATGAAGAAGATTAGATTTCCAGAGGTTTCTACTGTAGGCAATATACCAGCTGTTTGTGAGATGTGATGTTTTGGTTTTTAGGTGCTTTGTTTATGTATTGTCTGAATAGATGATAATCTATCTGTGCTGCTTCCTGCTCGAAGCCTTGCGCTGACCACACTCAGAACCACGTTTCTTTCCTGATAAGATCACCACATATGGCTGGATGGATGTTTCTAACACCTCTGTGTTTCAGAAACAGCTGTCTGCGCGCGCCTGTGTGAATGTGTAATGCTTTGCTTTTTCCGCTCTGCTTCACCTGCTGCCCAGGTAACCCTAAGACCCCGCCCCGCCATGCCATTGGCTCCGCTCAGCCCAATGAGCTTCCTGCCGCTCCCAGCGCCAGCCAATCCCGCAACGGTACAGACCTCATGACTCTGTGTGCCACGCCCATCCCCACCTCCTCCGCTGCTGTCTGTGGTCTGCAGCCGATCTGGTGTCTGCATGCCTGTCGTCGTGTTTGTGTCGTCAAACTGGCTGTGACAGAATCCTGAACTGTGTGCTCGTTGTTAAAGGAGTCTGGTTCTAAAGCTTCGCAATGCTGCCTAAATCAAAAAACAAAATAGAAAACATATCAACTAATAAGCATGCTTTAACATTTTATGTTAGAAATGCTTACATCTGCATTATGCTCACTTTTTCTATTACATTTTTATCCACTTATTAAGATTTATAAACAAATTTTGAATACATTGCAATAAGCAACAAATCTTTTAAAGTAAAACTAATGATGCACAGTATGGTTCTGAAAATGTTGCACAGCCCTGCTTCACATAATAGTTACACTTCTGACAATGAGGGTTTGATGAAACCTGGAAAAAGTAAAGAAAATTGTAAAAATAAAGAAATAAACAGCATACAAGTAACTAAAAACAATATATATGCAAAGAATACAATAAAATGAAAAAATATACTTTTTTACCTTTTAAATATATAAAATCATAATTAGGAATTTTTCCATGTATTGTGTAGCGAAGGGGCTAATCCTCTTTAACAATACAAATCAATCCATAATAGTTGCCTTCCCCAGTCACCCTCAGGACTGAAATTACTATTTTCTGCTAATCTTCTTTTGTGTCAGTAGACAAAAATAAAAGACTTTTTCCCCTTTTTTCAATGTATAATTACACTTGTAATTTTCTTCATACTTACTTAATTATTAGGTTTTATTTCCAATTATTTAGCTCTGGAATGGTCCGCTTTTTGGCCATTTAACAGGACATTATCCCTGATTAAATGAGCCTCTGCTGGAAGATATGTCCTAATGTTAGAGTAGACTGATAGCAGATCAATGAAAGTGTCTCCTGGTTCAAGGCGACCTGACACAAGGTCGGTTTGAAACGTTCGACTCCATTTTTACATCTAGAAAAAGAAATCTTAAAAGGAAAAAAAAAGGCAAAAGGTAGGAGAAATAAGCAATCTATAAAAAATATAATTTACTGTAGTTCATCTATTTCTATCCAGCCCACATTTTGTATATATTTCTGACAATAAGCCAAAACTCTTCAACAGTCTTTTTACATTTATTAAAGAGCAGATCAAATCTACAAAAAAAGCTTCGGAAATCTTCTGAATAGATTTTGATCAGCTGGAACTTTTGTAGGTTTATTGAATAAGTAAAATGAAATTAGATTGTGACCCAGGCTCACTCATGTTCAGCCAGCACTGCCCATCCTCATCACAGCAAGAGCTGCTCTGCTTCCTGTGCTTGCAGCCAAGGGCCTGGTTTAACCATGCATACAGACAGTTCTCAGCAGGAAACCCAGTCCATAACCAGTATGCTCCACCCCCCATCACACACACACACACACTGATACACACCATCATAATACCAAACAATCAGCCTGTAGCTATCCAGCAGCAGACCCAGCCTAGACAACATCCAGCAAATAGTTTTAATCATTACTGACCCTTTTCATAGTCCAGCAGCTGTTAAAAATAACCACTTTCTATTTATTTCCCCATTTTGCTTTTCCAGAAAATATGTGCAAATTAATTGTAATTTTTCTTAAAAATGTATCTCCTTTTTGTGTTTGTTTAAATGCCCTTACCCACTTTGGGGGGCGCCATCATTATTACAATATTGTTTCTACATTGATGAACAATTAAGGATCTAAACAACTTATTGGAGGAGATAAAGGTCTAAAACTCAGGACTGCAAAACCAAAAATACAAAATACCTACTTAAAAAGGTAGATTAGAATATAAATAAAATTAATAATAAACTTACCTATATAGAAATACAGTAAATGAGAAAAACACAAGCTGAACTGACAGCAGAAGGTAAATGATCCTGTCTTACTATACTATAAATGTTGAACTCTTAATCCCAGTAAACACAATATGTAAAGAGCTGCGTATATAAATATATATATATATCACACAAACCCCAGAGAAAAATGGAAAACAGCTAGTACTTTTTTTTTTTTTTTGAGGGAAATATGTTAAATACCCTGTGTGTTTGTGTATTCATCCTATTTTATATTCATAGCATTTTAAGGCAGGTTTTTTCGAGAGAGAATTGACAGATTAGACATAAGTGAATGAAATTACTGGAGCAATTTATTTTTGATGTATCTCTCTGATTTCATTAATTCTCAATTTAAAGAAATAAACGGATCTTAAAACTAAATAGATGTTGCAGGAGCTCTGGGAGTTCAGCTCTAAGATCTGTTGGTTAATATCAATAAAGAATCCTTAATTATTCATGAAATGTCACAAATCAGTAAGAAGAGTTTAGAAGGCATAATATTTAAGATAAAATAATCTCTTCTCTCTTCTGGTCAATTTCCTTAAAAAATAAGAGGGTAGTTTTATTATAGTAGAAATAAATAAATGCTGATTATCCCAAAATTTCTTCTATCTACTGTAATGCTACTTCCTTGTTTATTAGGTTGTTTTTTATCTCTGCAGCCCGTCTGTCGTTCACTCTGCTTGTTCCACGGTGCCTTCAGGTGCTGTAGGAAACGTTACCGTCTCAGTTTCATGGGAACGCAGAGGCTGAATTTTTATCATCATCCTCCATTTCATGATGAAGCAGTTTCTGCTGCTTGACTCCTGCCTTACATCACCAAGGTTAATTCATGCAGCGGCCCGCGCGGCTCATCGATCTGCAGGATTGCCTTCTGTGTGAGCCGGCAGTTTTGTGTTTGCGATTCAGGTGTTTGTTCTCAGGTGTACGTTTTAGTGTCACGTCCGCAGCAGGAATCAGAGGTTGGACGTTTCTGTGGAAATAACTACCAGGGGCTTTTCTTCTTCTTGTGTTTTCTAATAGTAGTCGACTTCTTGTCTCCTCCGACGATGGATCAGCTAAACAACAAGCAGCTTTCCAGCTCTTCAGCAGCACTCAACTCCCCAGAGAGAGGTGAGACCATCAGATCAAATATAGCCGAGGAGAGAGCAGAACAAACTGTTCCCTGAAAGATAATCCAACCAACACAATGACTTGAAGCATTTCAGTTTGGAACCAACTAGGACAGTTTTGATATATAAAGCTGCAATTAATTATTGAGCATCTAATTTGTCCATGAAGTTTAGAAATGGTTCCCAAGTTGAATAGAATTTGGATATAGATCCTCTCACAGTGTATCTAATTTTCTAGTTTTGGTGATTACATAACCTCTTTAATACAATGAGCATAAGTAGGAGGAGAGGGCTCCTTCCATTTGAACAGCATTCACCTCCTTGCTAGTAAGGTAGTGTAGGTCAACACATTTGCCTGAGTGGGGTGTCACCAGCTGGAACGACGCCAAAGCTTGCAGTCAGGGGAATAGGTTCTAGTGGGTATTGGAGGATAGTGGCTAGAGCATCAAATATATAGTTCCAGAAACGGGTGAGTTTTGGGCAGGCCCAGAACCTATGATAGAGGGTGGCAGCTTCCTGTTTACATCTATCACAGGCTGAGTAATGAAGATGATGAACCACTTTTTAATTGAATAACACTGTCTCAGGCATATTGAAGAGGAGTGAATTCTTTTTACCGCTAGCTCCCAAGTTTCTTCTGACCGAGACATCTGTATATCATTCTCCCACCGAGTTTTGAGAGGTTCAAGAGGTACGGGGCTAAGGGTATTAATTCTATTATTTTAGTAATGTAGCCCTTTCTTGCAGGGTTAAAAACAAGAATGTTATCTATTACATTTTTGGACAGATTGAATTTAGAGTGAGTGAAATTTGGAACCTGTAAATACCTAAAAAGATTAGTTTTTGGTGGGTTAGATTTCTCAGATAGCAGATAGCTGATTAAACAAAGCAAAGGCCTTTCTTTTCTTTTCATGCACTCCACTATTTAATACAACTTTTCTTTTCATACACTCCACTATTTAATACAACTTTTCTTTTCATGCACTTCATAGACACTTTTTCTCTTATGAACTTTGGCCATTTTCAAAGAACTGCAATGAGAAAGGTGAGCTTCAGTGACTGAAACCATAGCTCACCACCAATATACGCCTGAAAGTGCACATGCAAAGAAAAAGATACTTAAACATATCACCTAAATGATTGACAGTTAGAAGCACCACTTATTAAATTGATCCGCCCGGAAATAAAAGATCGTCCTCTATACCTTAAACACCTCAAGTAGGATGGAAAAAAGAAAACATGAACGTTGGCTGGGATTTTAATCTTCCAGCTTTTTTGTTATATATTTATTCTGTTTTAGAACAATTTAAAAAGAAAATGACACAAATGTTTATCTTACACTATATTTATTTATTTAATTTGGATTATTTATTGATTTATTTTGCTTTTAAACAAAAATAAGAAGAAAGAAATGGTCAGAATTGAATTTTGCTCATAGGTAATGTGCAGATGTGTTTCTATATTCAGTTCTATCTGCAACCAAACACGCATCATCAGGCAAAGGCCCATAAAGTGGTGCTGGCTGGGATTCTGTTTTTCTTAAAAATCATCTCTTTTTATTGTACTCGCTGTTATTTATTTTCTCTCTCTGTTTGTATCTGTGTTGGTCTGTGACCTGTTAGTGTCTTCTCTGTCCCGTCGAACAGCTTCCCCCAACAACCGATCCTTCAGGAGTCCCTCCAACCGCAGAAGCATTGCTGGATTCCCTGAGGAGACCTCCAAAGCAAAAACACCCACGGTCAGCTCACTCTGCACACAAATGCATTCCAATTTCTCTGTTTTTCTTCGAATGGGTTCATCATCTGACACATAAAACTGTTACAATAAGCTTTAAACCACATCTGCCACTATTTAATACAACTTTTCATATCATATAATGTTTAAGGGCAAATTAACTGCTATGAAATAGATAAAAACTTTTAGGCAAAGGAACTAGAATTAGGTTTGGGAATGAAAGAAGCAGACAAACACAATAATGAACATAATGAAAGAGCATCAATAGAAAACATTGAAGAGCATCCAAATTAAGGAAACGGACATGAAGAAGCACCAAAAAGACAGAGGGATCATATTGTTTCAGATTATTCACCATCAGCAGCAATGCTCTGGGTGGCTTATTATAACTAAAATGGTTTATAAACTAGCTTTTAGCTTCCTGTGTAATAATATCTGAACACAGGGACATTTTATCTGTTTTGACTAGTGTTGCCTTCATGTTGTAAAGAAGATCTTTTCCACTTGTAAAGTGAAAATTACCACCGCATTGTGTTCAAGTGCTTTTGTTGTTTTGGAGAAGAGAAACATTGTTGGATCCCAGATTATCCTGACCTGCTATTTTGGCAAGACTTTAACAGACTTCCTAAATCATCTGCTACAGAAACAAGAGTATGCTTCAAAGGATAACTGCTGCCTAAAATTTGATAAACTCAAACATCAATGGTCATTTTAAAAACTAACCAAGTTTAAATGGTGATATATTTACATTTATATATTCTAAATCATGTCACTGACTCTGCATCACACTGACAGCACCAAACCAAAACACTGCGTATTTGTACCATATTTATTTAATGCTCTGATCTTTCATATCAATGCGTTTTTTTGTACCATGTTTTTTTTTTTCTCCCACACAGTTTAG